CGACTGAGCCACCCAGGCGCCCCTAACTTGTTTATTCTTGACTGGGTTTAGTCATGAGGACTCCCTTCTTTTTGGACCAGGCAGTACAAGGGGAGATAAAAGGATGTTAGAGGTGGAACAGACTGTATATTGTTTAGTCTTAAATCTATTTTGGATCATGGACCCCCTTTTGAAAATCTGGTAAAAAGTTATGGACCTATTTCCCTATAAATAGAAGTAAATAAGTATAGTTGACCCTTGAACAGTGCAGAGATTAGGAATGTGCTGATCCGGCACAGTAGAAAACCCACTTACAACTTTGGATGCTCTAGAAACTTTACTAATAGCCTACTGTTGACTAGAAAGCCTTACTGATAATATAAACGGTTAACACATATTTTGTATGTTATATGTATTATATACTGAATTCTTAGAAGAAACTATAGAAAAGAAAATGTTACTAAGAAAATCATAAGGAAGAGAAGATACATTTATAGTACTATACTGTATCAAAAAAATCAAGTAAGTGGATCTATGCAGTTCAAACCCATGTTGTTCAAGGGTCAACTGTGCGTAAATACATTCTACGTATATATGTAAAATTTTGCACATAATGGAGTTTATGGAATATCCATGAACTATCCAGGAATTCTGAATCCTTAGATATGGACTGCTCTTGTGGTCCGGTACCATTTTTCACTTGAGGAAATGGGAAATAAGTGACTAGCCCAAGACCACACTATAGGTGTTTATAGTTATTTTGAATTTGAGGTTATACTGTAATCACCTTGGTATATACAGTTGTGGTCTTTTGCATCGTGTTCTTTATTTTTACCTAGTTGTCTTCACATAAGTAACCTCGGTAAAGTATGTAATAGATAATTAAAGCTATGCTCTTACCCAAAAAGTAGAATATTAATTCACAATAAGTTACTTTTTGGGAAATCAAAACAGGCTGCCCAGAAAAACTAAATATATATAAACCACTATATACAGTTAAGAGATTTTTTAATAAAATGTTGAACGCTTGCATGTCTGTGTTTTGTTGGACATGAAAAGTGCTCTACTGCAGGAATCCTGATGTGTTCTTTTCTTTTTCAGTATATCAGACGGTGTGGACGGGGCTCTGCCTTGCGCTAGGAGATCTAGGTAGTAGGATTGAGAGGTCAAGTTTGCTATCATTTAGCATTCTTTGCTCATCATTACAACATTACAAGGGGCAAAGAAAAATATCAAAATTCCCAAATGGTTAGTTTGCTGATAAAATATATTAGAGCAAGTAATTATGGTGGATATGTTTTATCTTGAGAATTTGAAGAATTTTCTTAAGTTTTCTTAAGGTTACTTACGTGAAGAGAACTAGGTAAAAATAAAGAACATGATGCAAAAGACCACAACTGTATATACCAAGGTGATTACAGTATAACCTCAAAATCAAAATGACTATAAACACCTATAGTGTGGTCTTGGACTAGTCACTTATTTCCCATTTCCTCAAGAGAAAGGGGGGGCTCCCTCGTGTATTTGTATATTTATGCCCCATAAGCTTGGGCTCGTGCACACATATATATCAGACAATTCAGTGATGGGAAGGAACTAGGCAGGGCTCTGTTCTCTGGAGCTTCCCATTGTGGCTGAATGACTGGCAGTATTTTGTAATCAAAGATCTCAGAGTATATCAGCATCAACATTTTATTTTTCTTTTTTAGAGAGTTGGGGGGGTCAGGGGGCAGTGGGGGAGAGAGAATATCATCTTAAGCGGGCTCCATGCTCAGTGTGTAGCCCGACACAGGGCTCAGTCTCACGACCCTGAGCCAAAATCAAGAGTTGGACGTTTAACTGAGCCACCTAGGCACCCCTTTTTCTCCCTCCTTCTTTTAAAGGTGGTATAAAATTTCCTCAAAAGGCTAATCAGAGATTTCTGAGATAGAAGAATATGTTCCTGAAAGTATGATATGAGAGACGTTAGCGTGGATGCTGAATTATGGTCTGAATTCATTTTTCTTTTTTTAGAATATATTTTCTCCGAAGTCGGCAAAAACTCTACATTTTTTTTAACTTTACATTTTTAAATTACAGACTCAAAGAATTCCAGAGATGGAGGGACCTTAGAAATCATCTAGTTCAAATATTATAGCCTCATGTTTAAGATAATGGTGGGTGCCCTTAGTGAGAGTACTGGGAGGTGGGACCTGTGGAAAAAGATCTATGTCTGTCTGTCCTGTCTTTTTCTTAATTTGTGTAGCGTTTATAGCTGGTACCCCACACTTTAGCACTAGTCAGATCTATCAGCTTTTATTATCTCATGTATTAATCTTACCTCAGAACTAGATATTAAGTGTTGGGAGTCAGTGATTACAGTTGATGTTTGTACTGCAGCCCCTGTAATACTGAATATAGACAGTGCCTGGTAAATACTCGGTTGATTCATTATG